GTGGCACATGGTCTGGTCAGGTCCTCATACGCTCACTGCCCAGCCCAGGGAGACACTGTCCTGAAGCGGGCAAGTGGGGAGGGGGACTCACATCCACGATGGCCTTCTTGGCCTTCTCCTCAGCGTTCCTACACTCCTGCACGGCCTCCTCCACTTCTGTCTGGAGCTGGGACAGGTCTGCATCCATCTTCTTCTTCTGGTTGATGAGGCTGGTGTTCTAGACACGGGAAGGGAAAAGCATCACATATGTACTGTGCCTTGTTACCTGATTCCACACCTTTATCCAGCGGGAACTAAAGGTGGTCGTTTTTTTTAAAATAACAAGCACTGCTTTTAGGATAGTCCTTGCTTTGCACCTGCTTTCTCATTTTCTATGAAATGGATATGTTCTAGACATTATGTCTATGATTACTCAGTTCTGACAAAAGACTTCAAATAGCAAAAGGTCTGCACTTCTACTCCTGAACTCTTTAGTAACATGTTTATGTTGGAGCGTGACAATATTCTAAGGAAAATGGAAACAACGCTTTTACTAGAGCAAAATTCTGGAAATGACTATCGTTATAGCAAGAATGTGGTAGGGTAAGGAAGAGGGGACAAGGTCAGAGGATGACGTCATTCCCACACATACGGGATTATAGAACAAAACCCCACCGGCCCTTACAATAGCTGGGCACAAAAACTCATTGCATAATAAAACTGAAAGCATTGTGGGTGGGATTGCAGAAAAATGGTGTTCTATCCAGAGTTTGGTTTGCAAGAGATGCAGTTATGCTTCTTTAAACTCCCAAACTCTTGTCTTTACACAGCAAGCTGGAGGTAGTCTTTTAGATCAAGGCTATCAAATAACAGCATGCATTCTACTACTTCCAGATTTGTGGCTTTGGCAGGCATCACCAATCACTCATGACACTCTAAGCTTTTAAGTCTAGACCACTTTCTCAAAACAGTGGTTCTGGCAGCCACTACTAACAGATGAGAGTTGGCCCAAGAGATGAAATGATTTATGACCTGGATAGACATGCTCACTTAGAACATCTGGTTTCTACAAATGTCCTGGGCTCTGACACTGAGCAGATTTCCACATGGCAGCCCCAGGCCCCCTCACCTGGGAGTGCAGCAGCTGCACCCGCTCACTCGTCTCGATCAGCTCCTGCTCCGCCAGCTTCCGAGACCGCTCTGTCTGCTCCACCAC